CCTTGCCAGAGATGGAGTCTCTTTGTCCTGTCTCCCCCTCCCTCCTTTTTTTGTCTCTGAAACAGGGTCTCTTGTAGCCCAGGCCAGCCTTGGATGACCTTGAACTTGTGATCTTTCTTGTCTGTATTTCCTGAGTGCTAGGTTACACACCTGCACTCCCACACTGGTGCTGGTGATGGAACCAGGGTCTCGTGCATGCTAGGCAAGCCATCTACCGGCTGGGCCCCAGCCTAGCCCTGGGAAACATGTCTTCTCCCAGACTGGTCTTGTCCGTTTGGACAGCTGTGCAAATATAATAGAAGATTCTTCCCAAACAAGCAAGTACCTCCCTGGTCCTTTCCACCTGTCAGTCTCAGTGCTGACAGATCTTTAAGGTCCCAAAGAAGTCTAACATATGTGGCAGCCCTTAAAGACTGCTTCTGTCGCCTGGCCTGGGGGTATAGGCCTGTAATTCCAGCTACTTGGGAGGCCAAGGCCAGAAAATCTCAAGAGTGAGGTCAAGGGCAAGACTGTCTCAACAACAACAAAGTGGGCTGAAGGAGGGAGCCGGTGATAGAGCCCAGTGGTAGAGCACTTCCTTGTCTGTGTGATTCCGTGGATTTGATCCCCATCACAAAAAGAAAAAAACAAACAAACCAAAACAAAACAAATGTAGCTCTTAAGGCTGGATGTTCTCATTGCCTTCTTATTTATCATGTTTCTACCTTTTCTTCATGATTCTTTTCAGTGTGCTGCCTGGAACACAATGGAATGCATGTCCAAGCCACATGCTACTGTCTGCCTGCTTCTCCCCCTTGCTGGTGCAGCCCCGAATCACCTGCTTATTTAGCATGTGTTACTATGTTATTGATTTATTTTAAGTTTATCATTAACCAGTGCCTATAAATGGCATCTCCCCAGTCATCAATATGCATACAGTTGCTAAGCCACACCTCCCATATCAGTAGTCAGCCATTAGACCCGAGAACTAGAGATTTCAGTTTATTTTTGAGCAGTTAGCTTCATTCTCCTGTGGGTAACTTCATTTTTTTACATATGGCAGAGAGACCTCCTTACAGTGTCAGGGATAAATTGAGGATCTGTGCCAGAGGGGTTTCTTTAAAATAAACCTTCTGTATTTTATTATTAAATTTTATTTCATTTTTCTTTTTTTTTAGACAACGTCTCATTATGTAGCCTGGCCTAGCTGGGACTTGCTGAGCTCCACCTACCTTTGCCTCCCAAGTGCTGGGATTAAAGGCATGAGCAACCACATCTGGCTTAATTGGGTTTTTGAGACAGGGTCTTACTGTATTGCCCAGGCTGGCCTTGAATTTGTAATTTGTCCCCCAACTGCTGGGGTTATAGGGTGAGCCACCACACCCTGGCTACAGTGGTATTGTGGTGGGTTGGGGTTGGGGTATTTATCATCATCCTGTTTTGTCTCTGCCTTCAGTAACATTCACAGTTCACACACAAGGTTCTGTTTAGGCGTGTTGGGTGTGTCGGAAGAGACTAGAAATAAGATGATGTTCACATAACTAATTATATCCTTTGATTGGAACATCAGAGCTACAGAGGAGCACCCAGTCTGCACTTCCCACTCTTCTTTTTTGCATTTGCAAACTAAGATCTTAGGAAAGGAAATTGTTCAAAGTAACCAAGCAAATCGGTGACAGAGACCAGCTTCACATCCAGGCCTCCTGTCATGCTCATCAACTTATTAGCTTTCGCTTGTGTGACAACAAGGTTTTCAGCTTTCTGCATCAATGTAGGTTTTCTTTTCCTGGTCCACTGTGACCCAGATGTGCTTGAATCTCTACATCTCATGAGTAAGTGGAATCCTTAGACTCTCAGGGGAGCCTGTGGAAGTGGAGCAGGGAGGTTCCTCCCTGGGGTTGCAGGCACTGTTTGGATTGAATATGTTTTATCTACACCAAAAGTCATATTGAGGCTCCATCCCCAAGATGATGGTGTTGAGAAATGTTGGGGGTCTTTAAGAGACCCACGAGACTCTACTCTCAAGGAGGGATCGATGTAGTTTCCCAGCAAGTGGGTTACTAACAGTGGGAACAGACAGTTAGGAAGTGAGCATGGCTCCTCCCCTTGGTCTCTTCTCACCTTGTGACCTCTCGTCCTCACTCTTGTGACTTCTCTTCCTCACTTCCCCGCGGGTTTCTGGTTTTCTGCCATGCCTAAAGCAGTGTGAGACCCTTGAGGGAAGCTAGTAGATACTTGAACACCAGAACTGTGAGCTCATTTTTCTTTCCCTCTCTCTCTTCCTCCCGCCTTCCTTTTTTTTTAAAAAAAAAAGATTTATTTATTTTATGCATGAGTGTTCTATCTGCCTGTACACCTTTATGCCAGAAGAGGGCATCAGATCCCACTAGAGATGGTTGTGAGCCACCATGTAGTTGCTGGGAATTGAACTCAGGACCTCTGGAAGATCAGCTGGTGCTCTTAACCACTGAGCCATCTCTCCAGCCCCTGCTTATTTCTTAATAAAAAGTACCTAACCTCAGATAGTTTGTTATGGCGACAGAAAGTGGACTAAGACAGGCCCTTTACTGACTTTCTACTATGCAGTTCCCTTGTGGGGATGCACAGATCCTTTCCTGGCTTGCAGTTGGTAGAAGATGTGTCCCTGGATCACTCTTGTGTTGCAGGCAGAGCTACTTTTGAGGCATCCCCAGAGGGGAGCCCGGAGCAGAGAGACATCATCTGGGCAGCTGGTGTTGGGGTGGCAGTTGGAGAGCCAGCTTCTCACCCTGAGGTAGCATCTCAGAGCCAGGCTGGTGTCGACATGCTGGGGGAAAGCCTGATGGAGAAGGGATGGGTTTTCTTCATCATTTTTATTGCTAATGTACTTCCCCACCCTAATTTGACTGCAGATTCTTGAATGATAGGGAGTTGGCTCTTTTCCATTTAGTTCCCGAAGCACCTGGCACTGTAGACATTTCCACACCAATAGACAGTCAGGAGGGAGATGTGCTTCCCGCCTTGCTGCTGCTTAACAGTAGCTGAACAAGTTCCTCCATCTTTGGGGAAGAGCCTTTATCTATGCAATGAGGGACTTGAGGTGACCTGTGAAGGCTCCTGAGCACTGGGCTAGGATTTGGGTGGCTTCCACACTTTCACCTGGCTGAGAGAAGCCCTTCCCTCCTCTCTTCCCCAAAGCCATGTAGAGAGGACACATCCTCATCATCCCTCATCCGTACAGAACAGGGAGGGTACTTCTTTCACCATCTTTTAAACATGAGCAAATCTATAAAAATTTAAGAGAACTCATAGGGCAGGAAGGGTGTGACACTGTCCTCTCCATCATGAAGGTCACAGCCAACACTCTGTAACAAGGCATGTTAATGAAGGTGCAAGTGTTTATTTAGACATTTTGTGTGACCGGGAGCCTTCAGAGAAGAATATGGAAGGACCAAGGAGAACAGTGCACCTTGAACTCACATTCCCATTTGTCTGCTCTGGTTTGCTGAAGTATATATGGGCAGCTGTGTGGAAAGGCTGGTCACAGAGTGTGTGGCAGTGGAAACCAACTGAGCTACACTCCAACAGTCCGGCCACTCAGATCCTTTCTGCCTCTACATGGAACTTTCCCTCCTTCCAGGACAGAACTAAGAAGGCAAAAGGCACAGAGTGGCCATTTTAGGTTTTACGGCTGCTTTGGTTTTTGAGATTGACTTCAGGGACAAAGGTTGGCAAGGAGGCATGGGACAGGAGAAGGTCAGCAGACTTTGCTGTTGAGGCAGTCTCTGTGGACTTCATGTCTCCTTTAGTTCAAAGGGCTTGGCATGCCAAAGCTGCACTTTTTGTACTGTACTTTAGGATATCATTTTATAAGCCCCAATACAGCATTGTGGAGAGGAGCTACTGAGACAAAGATGGGGTGTCTCATGGTCTCTCCTACTCCCATTCCTCTTTGTCTGAGCTGTGGTCAGCCACCGTATTCCAGCACTCAGGCTGGTGGCAAGTAAAGGGTTCAGGGTGAGGAGATGAGCCTTCCTGATCTCTGTGTCCTAGTTTCATCCCTGTGGCTGTGGTGAAAGGCCCTGATGGCAACAAACTGAGAGCAGAAAGGGTTTATTTTAAGCTTATAATTTTAGGTTATAGTCCATTTATTTCAGGGTTGTCAAGGTGGCAGAAACTTGAAATAGTTAATTGCACCCACAGTCAAGAGCAAAAAGAAATGAATGCAGACAGGCTCACTTGCTTGTTTGTGCTCAGCTCGATTTTTCTAGGGGATGGTGTTGCCCATAGTGGGTGGTGTCTTCCCAGATCAGTTAACTTAATAAAGACAGTTCCCCCACAGACATACCCACTGGACAATCCTGATCTAGTCAGACCTTCATTGAGATCCTCTTTCTAGGTGATTGTAGGTTGGGTCAAGGTGATAATTAAAATGAATCATCCCAGCTTCCAAAAACTAGGAGATAGGCTGGGCTCATGAGCTCATGGTGGTAAAGAGGGGGTTGTTTGTGGTCTGGGACTCTGTGGAGCTGGAGCAGAATTGGGTGACCCAGAGGGGATTTCATGACTACAACCTTGCTCTCTGCTGAAGGCAGAGGATAAAAAAGGACACCCAAAGAAACATCCAGGTTCATGTCACCTGAGAGCTCGCTCTTGGGGAAGGTGTGTGATTTAACTACTGTTTGAGGTCCAAGAGATAAGGTCAGAGGAGGGGGGTGGTGAACCCAACCAGAAGGCCAGGGAAGGCTTCCTGGAAGTGCACGTTTGCATTACCCTGCCCGGCATTGCCTCACTTATTTGTTGCTCAGGTGCCCTAGGATGAATTTAGATATTTATGAGTGTGACACCATGTGGGAAGGTGGGGAGGCAGAGGCCAAGCAGGCCCAGTCTGCCCTGTGGACTTCGTGCCTCTTGCATTCTCCTGGGTTGGTACTGGGCACTCTAGTCAGACTCACTCCGTAGTGCATCTGTCACTGGGAGCAGTTGTGGCAATGGCTACCTCTGTGTCTGAGCCCTCACACTTGGAGATGAAAGCCCCAGTTCCTGGAGGTCTTAGCACTGCCTCTGTTCCCCCAGCTACCATGTCCACACAGAGACTTCGGAATGAAGACTATCATGACTACAGTTCCACTGACGTGAGCCCTGAAGAGAGCCCATCCGAAGGCCTTGGTAACTTCTCTCCTGGCTCCTACCAACGCTTAGGGGAGAACAATAGCACTACGTGAGTACTTGTGACCTCCTGCCATAGAGTGGACTTTCCTGTCTCCCTTGGAGGAGCTTGTGCCTCCATCTTCCCATTTAAATACCCTGCCTGACAGAAGAAAGCAGGCTGTCTACCAGCAGGACCAGCAAGGGACTCTGCCCCTCCCTAGTCATTTCTTATTCCAAAAGACTGGAGGCCAGGAAGAGCTTTGACTTAAAAGCCTCTAGGGGGATAATCTTTTGGGCTAGAACCAAGTGTCAGATACCTCCTGGCCCATTAGCATCTCCTTGGCAGAGTCTCCTGGGACTCCTAGCCCCATCACCAGGCTTAAGAAGTGGAGGGAAGGAGTGGCAGCTGGGTTTAAGAACCCTCTAGAGTTGGTAGGGAAGATATCCACTCTGTGTTCCTTAAGGAGGCTGCTGCTTGAACCTGGAAGCTGCAGCTGTCTCATCTTTGGCCCTCTTTGGTCTCAATTTCTCCAGATAGAAGGACCAGTTGAGAAGCCCACTGGGAAACCGAGCTGGCTGTGTGACATTTACTCCTTAAACTGCAAACTTCAGAGGGAGGCGTTCTTTTCTGAGTTTCTCAGCATGCCCCTGGCCTTTTTCAAGGTCCCAGGACCCTGTCCTTGGCAGCCCTGTCATTTATCCCCATTCTCAGCTGTCACCCTTCCTGTGTTCCCTTGTGGGTTAGCTGTGACTTACTGAGGGCTGCACTGTGTCTCAGTAAAATGGCTGCATGTGTCCACTCTCCATGTCTGCTCAAGGGAACTGTGGAAGTTGTGGGGATATCCCCTCTGCCTGCGCTCTCTCTTGGAAGGGACGTTTCCCCCTGTGAACTGAGGTGGGCATGGAAAAAGGTCTGTTCTCATGATTGGCTCCTTGCCACTACTAACACAAAGATTTTGACTTTTAGCTTATCTCCCATACAGCACACTGCTATAGATTCCTGATTTATTTGCAGATTTAGCTGGTGGAAAAGATTGCTTAAGATGCTGCTGGTAGCAGCCAGGACCTCCTCCCTTTCTTCTCTTTGGCCTCATCTGCCCCATCAATGTCTCCCAAGGAGAAGTAAATCCCTTCAGGGGTTGTGAAATACTTCTTCCAATCATCATCTTGTTTGCACAGTGCTTTCTGTGCACACTCTAAATTTTCACTTTTACAGAGACCTTTTCTGAAACGCAAGACTAGCTGGCTGGTTTTTCCAGGTCAGCCATTCAAGGATGCATGCCTGGACTGTCCTCAGGGTTGCTTTTATCACTTTCTCTGGTTTCTTGGAGATCAAGCCAGGCAGATAATTCCCTCCTTTGGCTTGAACTTGGACATTTTCTGAGGTACAGGGGCAAGTATTCATTTGGGTCTTAGAGCATTGGTCATTCTAGCCTGAGGATAGGATCTACCCAGGCATTTATTCAGGAAACATGCTAGGTGAACCAAGGCTGATTGGGGACCCTTGTTTTATCTCTCCTAAGTAGTGAGAGGGGACTTGATTTGAAGCCTTTATACTTCCTTGTTTTCTACTTTATTAAGGAGCAAAGTACCTTGGAAGAGCTGCTTAACCACACCCAACTCTTCTAGAAGTTAAAAGACCATTTAAAAGCCCAAAATAATGAGTGCAATAAAATAGAGACTTTAGGCATTTCTGTTTCAGAGTGTTGGGGATTTCCCCTGGTGCCATGGAGTTGTTGACAGCACTGACGGGCAGCCTCAGTTAATGCTGTAGGATGGGTTACACATAGGGCACTTTACACAAAGTAGGACAGTTTACACACAGTAGGGCACATTTTCCTTTTGTTGCCCTGTTGAGT